GACAGGTGGATCACCTGAGGTCAGGAGTTCGAAACTAGCCTGATCAACATGGTGAAAACCTGTCTCTACTAAAAATACCAAAATTAGCCAGGCATGGTAGTAGGTGCCTGTAATCCTAGCTACTCAGGAGGCTGAGGGAGGAGAATCGCTTGAACCTGGGGGGCAGAGGTTTCAGTGAGCTGAGATCACGCAATTGCACTCCAGCCTGGGTGACAGGGTAAGACTTCATCGCGCGTGTGTGCGCGCGCGCGCACACACACACACCCACACACCCACACACACAGAAACCCAACAACAAAAAAACACCAAAGGTGAGTGTAAACTTCAGATACTCTCTACACTTTGCCAGTCAAACTATGGCATTTTCTAGTTCAGAACTGGCACCATTTAGGTTCTTTCTCTTCAGAAAAATAAAAGCTAACAATGTAACATTTTTCCCTTTCTCCTTTTCTTTCCTGAAAAGTAGTAGAAGGGTAGACTAGAGGTTCAAGTAATGGTAACATTAATTTGAGTTTCGCTTTCACATAAGCAGCTGGCATGTACTGATATTATATACGTAACTCTACACTTGCCGCTCCGTTTTGCCTTTCTTCTAATATGAATACAACCATCTCATTATTTAAAACTTGACAGAATTTATTTCTTCTTCCATCTTTGTCTACCTCCTTCTAAGATAAAGAATCTGAGGGACTCAAAATATGTATGTCATTTCTTCTGGTCAGTAGACAATTTCCAGCTTTATAAATAGCGCTAAAAAACTCAGAAGGGCAGATTTTGGGTGCTGTAAACCAAAAGAGATGCTGTGGGGTTTTGATGTGGAAGACAGTGAAAGTATGGTATAAATTCTGTTTACGTTCTGAATTTATTAGAATATTCGTATCGAAGTGTAAAGACACTGTACGGTACATGTTTATCAATTTATATGTAACTAAGTATTCAAAAAAGTTTAATTACGAACTAATTCTTTCACAGGTTCTTCTTTTGCCCACGTTTTGAAATGTCTGGATTTCCCCAGGGTGTCATCTGAATTTCCTGCTCTCCTAGTTTAGACTCATCCAGTCTCACTGTTCTAACACGCCAAAGGAGTCTAGTGTCAGACTCGAAGCCACTCAATCTCTTTAGCTACAGATCTATAATCCGAACAATCTACTGGCTTTTCAATTTGATATTCCAGAGCATTTCTAACTTAACATGGTCAAAATGTAAGTCCTGATTTTCCCTCGTAAACCTTGCTCCACATCTCACATTGACTGTCTCTATCTCAGTAAATGACTTCCCAATCACCCAGGTTTAAAGTCACAGAGTCATCATTGGGTGTTCCATGATGTAAACTGAATTACGTTATTCCTATCTTTAAAAAATGGTAAATAACTACCAAATATCCATCACATAAACCTAAAAACCTAATTACAACATGGCAGACACCGTCTATTTCTTATGCAACATCATTCCCCCTTTATCCCTGCTAATAGGCTTTTGATTTCATTTCCAGATGGAAGGCAGAGGACTCTTGATTTAGGGGAAAAAGTGTTCTCTACAAGCCCATGGAAATCCCATTCTCCTTCATTCAGAGATTGGACCAGAGAAGATGTTTCCCAATTCTGAACAATTAGATGAAATGGAGAGTCTTCTGAGGTATGATGCCCAGAACTGTGTAGTCCATCAGCTTTGTCATCATAAAAACTATCACCAAGGGTAGCAGAACAGAAGAATTGAAGGATAAAAAGTTCCTGGGTCCTTGACATCCCTGAACAGCTGCAAAACACCTGGAACTGCCTACCTTGAGACTTGATGCTATGGGTGCAAACAAAGGCTATTATTGCTTAAGCCTCTGGTAATTTATACTTCATAGCTGAAAGGCTTTCTAATTAACAACAAGGCCCTTCAGGACTTTTGCTATCTTGTCACCACCTACCTTTTCAGTTTCTTCAATCTTCCCTCATCCTTTATACCAAACATACTTTGTTCCATACCATAGACCTTTAGGTTTTTATCCAGAAGACCGGCTTTTTTCTTCATCTTCCTGGTGAGCAACTCTTTGTTTCAAGTTCTAGCTCACGTATTACTTCTTCAAGCAAATATTATTTTATCCACCAAAACCCCCAATTATTGCTGCTAAAATCACATGATTCCAGGAAGAACTAACTGATTTCTCTTCAGCTGTGATTTGGAAATAGCTTATTCCCACCAAAACTCATGTTGAAATCTCATCCCCAGTGTAGCAGTGTTGGGAGGTGGGGCCTAGTGGGAGGGGTCTGGGTCATGGGGGTGAATCCTCATGAATGGCTTGCTGCTGTTCTTGAGGTAGTGAGTGGGTTCTCATTTTGGTGAGACTAGACTGGCTCCTGAGAGCGTGGGTTCTTATAAAGCCAGATGCCCGTTGAGTTTTGCCTCTTCATACCTATCTACTTCCCCTTTGAACTTCTATCACATTTCGACCCAGTACAGAAGCCCCAACCTCATGGTGAGCAGAAGCCAGCTCCATGCTTCTTGAACTTCCCAGCCTGCAGAACCATGAGCCAAATACACCTCGTTTCTTAATAAATTACCCAGCGTCATAATATGTATTTGCTTTATAAATTACCCATCCTCATGTACCCAGAAACACAAAATGGACATCTTCTGTTTCCCATAGTATTCAAATTTTTATATAACACATGTGATTTTATGTGTCAACTTGACTGGGTTAAGGAATGCCCAGATAGCTGGTAAAACATTATTTAAGGGTGTAAATGTGAGGGTATTTCTGGAAGAGATTAGTATCTGAATCACGATGTTAAGTAAAGAAAATCACCCTTACCTAGATGGGTGGGCATTATCCAATTTATTGAGGAGTTGAATAGAATGGAACAGATAATAAAGGGCAAATTTACTCTCTCTTCTTGAGCTGGGACATCTGTCTTCTCTTGCACTTGGACATCTGCATTCTGGCTTTTGGGATTTTTGACTCAGATTGGGACTTATACATTGACTCCCCTAGTTCTCAGGCCCTTGAGCTTGGACTAGAACTCTGCCATTTTCTTTCCTGGGCCTACAACTTGCAGAAAGCAGATAATGAGATTTTTCTGCCTCCATAATTATGTGAACTAATCCCTCATAATAAATCTCTTTATATATTTTTATCTATATATCCTATTGGTTCTGTCTCTCTAGAGAATCCTGACTGAAACACACAGTATACTGCAGTTATTTATTTGTCTGTCTTGCTCTAGACTTTGAGCACTTAAACATAAGGATGTATTTTTTGTCATTGTACTCTCAGATCGTAGAACAGTGGCTGTAACATAATAGAAACCCAGAGAATGCTTCTGATTTTTATAAAATATATATCTAGCCACAATAGAAGTGTATATTGTTCACATATTTTCTATAGAACTGGTACAAATTTTGATAATTCTTTAAAACTACAAATAAGCCCCAAACTAATCATAAGACTCAATTAAATAATGATGTCAAAGTTTTTTGGGGAAGTGACTTTTTTCCCCATAAGAACACTATTTGTGAGCCGGGCACAGTGGCTCAAGCCTGTAATCCCAGCACTTTGGGAGGCTGAGGTGAGTGTATCGCCTGAGGTCAGGAGTTCGAGACCAGCCTGGCCAACATAGTGAAACCCCGTCTCTACTAAAAATACAAAAAATTAGCTGGGTATGGTGGTGGGCACCTGTAATCCCAGCTATTAGGGAGGCTGAGGCAGGAGAATGACTTGAACCCGGGAGGCAGAGGTTGCAGTGAGCCAAGATCGCACCATTGCACCCCAGCCTGGCCAACAACTGCAAAACTCTATCTCAAAAGAAAAAAAAAACTATCTGTTCTCTATGTTTCTTTTGTGACAAAGTGCACAAATATCTTCTTTTCATACACCTATAGCAATTTATACTTTACTATCAAAAATATACTTTGAAATTTCTGTTAAATTCATATAGTATTCCTTTGGCCAAATTTTAACTCATGCTTTAGAGTTAGTTATCCATACATGTGCTATGGATCTACCACCAAAGCTTCAAGTTACATGTTAAGTCTGGGGAAGCCAGTACTTTGCTCCTGCCTGGGTATTGTTCCAGGAATATCCCTCAGCAACCGCAGAGACCATTCAGTCTATTCCAATTTTAACTTGCGCACGACTGTCTGAGAGACCACAAGCTAAATTCATGTAAATTGCTTTCTAAGATGAGTATCAGAGCTGAAAAGAATATTAAAGGATTGGTCTTTTCTTTGGAGCTCTAACACTCTTAAGAAATAGAAACATGAAACTACAGGAGGTTCCTTGATTATTTGTTGTTTATATCAATTGACAGCTCTCTGTGAGTCCAACACATAGTTCAATAAATTCAAAGTAAACATATTCTGTTTTTTAAAAAGTTGATGTTTAATAATATCTACCTATTAACCATGTAAAATTGCATTGCAGATTTTAATTTTAACTTGTGACATTTAAAGGTACATTAGATGAAAACTTTTACATTTCCTTTGACTTAGATTTGGGAACTTAGTGCCATTCCCAATGCTCAGTTATCATCTTCAGCTCACCTTTTCAGATGCCTCCTAGTAGCTACTTTTTTTTACAAAGATTATCTTTGTTACATTTCTGTTCTCAGTGTTACTTTTGTTCATTTTTTATCAGTTGCCTAAAGTACTTTTGAAGCAAAGGAAGCATAAATTCTAAATTACTCGAACTTCACAAGTTAAAACTGCTTTAGATGAGGCCTCTAGATATTTTTGAAGAAATTTAGTACAAAACTTTTTAAGTTTTCAAGGCTGTTGTCTTGCATAGCTCCAAGAAGCACCATTCAGGTATCCTTCACCTCTGTAAATAGTTGTACCTTCGAGTGGTACAATATATTGTTATGTTCCTTTACGTGACCCATGTGAATGGCTACTTGTGTTGCCTCTCTGTGTGGAGACAGAGATATCTGTGGTGATAATTCTGTAAGTGATACTGTATGAAAATAGTTACTAGAGACAGGAGGAATTACCATCTGGGAGATCATAATCTGCCTTACCTGAACTGTGGTTTCCTGCCAACAAGGTGGGGCTCACAGAGCATCTTCCCAGTCTACTGGTGACCACAGGTGGCCCTGGTGTTCCGTCCCATTCCTGAGCTTTGACAGGCTCTCTGGAGGAAGACGCCCCATGGTGGCCTCTTTCCTTGTTGTCCAACTTTGGTAATGGCTCCGTGCTGTGGCTTCGGACTTTCAGTTCCTCCGTTGATTCTGTGTAGTAACCAGAATTATATTCTGTTAAACAAAAGGAAAGCTCTTCCTAAATTACTTTCAAAAAATTAGTGTGATTTTCTAAAATCGTCTCAATATGTTGTTGGAAATTCAGACTTGGAGACTACAACATCTAAATGTAACAGAAACATAGACTCCAGGGGGCCTTTTTTCTGAGTTGTGTAGGATAGTATCTCTGAGAAATACAATTTTCTTTTTGGAAAAAGAGTACCTCGACGAATCTTTAGTAACTCTTCCCTTGTGCTCATCTTTGAGTATACTTATTTAAGAGCACTTCACACTCACTCTCTTTACTTTCTAATCTTTACAAAAATTCAGCCAAACCATTCTATCCAATCTGCTCCTGACAACATCACCTAGTGCCTTTTATCTGGCAAATGTATAAGCCTTTTTTTTCAGCCATTTGACAATTATTTGATTACTCACTAATTTATATCTTCAATTCTCTTGACTTTGTGGATGGTCCTTCCTCCTGCGTTGTGTTCTATATCTAACACCTTTCCTTCGTCATTCATGTCATCTCATCCTCCATGCATCACTGGCACATTGGTCGTTTCCTAGGTGCCAGCTTAGCCACTGTGCTGCTTATGCTACATATATTCTTTCTGTGATTTTTGTCCTCTAGGATTCAGCTAGCAATCACCTAATTGTTAGTGATTTCTAAATATTTTATCAGATGCCTGGACCATTCTTTTTATCTTTAGATTCATTTATCCAACTGCCTGCTAGGTGAATCCATCTGGAGTCCCCATATGAACATTTCAGATACTGAACTGATAATTTCTCATTAAACTATTGGTTCTTTCTGTCCAACCAACTATCCAAGCTAGAAGCATGTCTCTCCCTTTCTTTAAGTGCTAATCCCCAAATCTATTAGAAGATTCTGCAGATTTTGTTTCTGGATGTCTTGCTCTCGCTTCTCTTCCACTTTGTTTCATGCCTACCTCAACTGCTCTGGTTCAGCTCTAATCCTCTCACTTGATTTACTGCAACTTGTCTCTGACTCTATCCTTGACTCCTCAAAGCATAAGTTCCTTATACTGCCAAAATGATCTATTGGAAATGAAAATCTGATCATAATGTAACCTTGAATAAAATCCTTTCAGAAGCCTCCTGTTGCCCATAGAATGTCTAAGCTCTTTACTATAATCGGCAAGAATCTCCAGCTTCTTGCTCTTCCCTTCCCCTCTAGCTTTATCGTTCCCCATTAACCTCCCTGTATTACATTGGTTGTAGGTTCTTCCTCCCCACTCCAACCCCAGTAAACACAACGCTGTTTTCCACAGCTATGACCACCCCTCCTTTGAATTCCCTTATGTCTTGTCTTTCTTTGCTTAACTAACTCTACTTACTCCTGGTTACTCAATTTAAGTATCCTCTGAAGCCCTCCCACCCATTCACAACTCTTGCAGGGTCATGGTCATCTCTGCACTGACCTTGCTTTATAGTTGTACACATCTGCTCCTCCCAAAAGGCCTTGAGTTGTTTTAAGGTAGGTATTGAGGTTTTGTTTGTTTTTAATTTTTAAAAAAGTGGTTGACTCCACCACCTATCCTATTGCTCAATGAATTTTTAATTTATTTATATTGCAGATTTCTCAGCTCTTCACACATCTTTCTGATCTATGTAGGAAATGTAACATTCCTGATGGAAATCAAGTTATAATAAGTGTGTTAATGGACCTAATAGTACTTTCAAAAATCTGATTATCTAATAACCACAAGTTGTAAAATTCACCAGGTTAACAGTTTAATTCAAATAATGAATTTTTTAGAAAATCACAGAAATGATTTAAAAAATCTGATTTTTTTTACACTTGGGTTACAATCCTTATCAACTTTGAGCAGTGGGATAACACAGATGTCATACTTTGGTTCACCATTATCTGAATCTGTGGGACACAGATAGAACAGGCTGTCATATATTGAGCAGTCCGAGTCAGGAATCTCAGAGGCTTCAGCTTTGCAACTCTAGCTGTGACCCACGTCACTTTTTGGGGAGCCTCATTTTTCTTACCTACAAAACAAAGAAAATACCAGCCCTACCTAACTTTCTTGATTTTATTTTAAAAATCTTATAATATTCTACAGTTTAAAATATTTTGAAAACTAAAAAGTGCCAGACACATAAAAAGTAGTATTCAGTTAAACATAGTCATTTGGCCTTTATGAGTTTATTTAATTTTTCTACATTAGATAATCACTAAGGGTCTTATACAAATGGAAAACTGCCAGATAACATTTAGAAATAGAACTCTAGCTTATTATCCACAGTAACTAGCTTCGGAAGTCAACCTATGAGGTACCAGTCACACTTGTAGGGAGTAGAGTAGACCAGTCTCTAGGAAATAATCCTAAAAGCTAAACAATCATCCATGTAAAAATTGACCTCAAACAGTCAAGACGTGAGTAACAACTTAGCTTCCCCAATTTTTGGCCCAGTTTCCAACTTAGGAACAACTGAGGAAAAGTAAATATATACCTTTAACCAATCACGGAGAATGCCCCATTTCTAGTGTGCTCACCTGCCACTTCCCCAAGTTAACAGTCCCCAATCAAGGTACACTTGAAGACTTTTCATTGTTGCTGATAAACAAAAAACTTTAGACAAACTTAATTTAGCAGAGTTTATTTGAGAAAAAGAAAGGATTTGTTAATTGGGCAGCACCCTGAACAAGTAAAGGCTCAGAGATCTCTGCCCAGCAACCTGGTCAGGCAGTATTTATAAAAAGAAAAAAGAAATAACATATAGAAATATCCTGATTGATTACAAGCCATCCTTCACCTTATTTGGACATGTTTTGACAGTTTGCAGTCTGTGATTGGCTGAAAACTTGGCTGCTATGATTGGCCAAGACTCAGCTACTTGTTACAATAATATACTCTTATGATAGGTTGTAGTTTATTTACACACTAAGTTAGGTTGCAATTCATTACATATGGAGGCAGTTTTAAGCCAAATTTATTTGAACATTTTTCCCCCATAAAGCCCTCCTACTCCTCTGCCTGCCTCTGAGTCTTTGCCAAATGCAAGCTCTGAATAAATAGCCTTTGCCTGTCTCTTTTGTTTGATCCTCATTTATTTCTACATTGCTATAGTCTCTTTCAGCTCTAAGATGCTATTCAGTTGTGTAAATACATGTCATGAAAAGCATTATATGAGATTAACTTAAATCAGGAGGGTAGTTCCATAACAGTCTCAGAAAGATTTCAGGTTTTTAAATGGGCCTGTATATAAACTTGTTTTAGTTATAATGAAATCAAGTATAAGAAGTCTAAATTTTTTTGGAATAAACATGTTTCAGAGATTTATTAATCATTAATGATGAAACAAGTAAGATAGTAAAGCTGGTCCAAAGAGCATTTGGAGGACCTAAGTATTTATAGACATTTTTAAAAGAATGTTAGAATAAAATTGCTAGGTTAGAAATAAAACTGGTTGTGGCTGGGCATGGTGGCTCAAGCCTGTAATCCCAGCGCTTTGGGAGGCAAAGGCAGGTGGATCACCTCAGGTCAGAAGATCCAGACCAGTCTGGCCTGGCCAACATGGGGAAATCCCATCTCTACTAAAAACACAAAAATTAGTTGGGTGTAGTGGCAGGTGTCTGTAATCCCAGCTACTTGGGAGGCTGGGGTATAAGAATCACTTGAACCCCGGAGGTGGAGGTTGCAGTGATCCAAGATTGAGCCACTGCACTCCAGCCTGGGCAACAGAGCAAGACTTTGTCAAAAAGAAAGGAAAGAAAGAAAGAGAGAAAGAGAGAAAGAGAGAAAGAAAGAAAAGAAAGAAAAGAAAGAAGGAAGGAAGGAAGGAAGGAAGGAAGGAAGGAAGGAAGGAAGGAGAAATAAAATTGGTTAATGTCCTTAAGGAAATACCATTACAACTTTTACAGTCATCTTTCTACCAAATAGAAATAATTTGCATCTCTAGTTGGGGGCAGGAGGAGGGCATTTGGATGGTAATCAGTACTCTGCAGAAAAAAATAAAGCATGGAAAAATAATTGAAAGCAGGGGCCAGGTTCAATGTTTCACACCTGTGATCCCAGCACTTTGGGAGGCCAAAACAGGAGGATCATTTGATCTCAGGAGTTCCAAATCAGTCTGGGCAACATAGCGAGACACTGTCTCTACAGAGAAGGTAAAATTAGCTGGGCATGGTGGTGCAAGTTTGTAGTCCCAGCTACTTGGGAAGGTGAAGTAGGAGGATTGCTTGTGACTTGGGATGTCAAGGCTGCAGTGAGCCGAGATTGTGCCACTGCAATCGAGGCTGGGAAACAGACTGAGACCATGTCTCAGATAACAATAATACTAATAATGGAAATCAGGAGCTCAAATAGGTATTCGTACATCCAAGTTTATGGTAGCATTATTCATAAGACAGAAGCAACCAAAGCATCCATTGATGACTGGGTCAACACAACGCGATACAGGCATACAGTGGAGTATTATTCAGCCTTACAAAAAAAGGAACATCTGGAACATGCTAGCATAAGGGTTTATTGCTACTGGAAAGACATTATCCTAAATAAAATAAGTCAGTCACAGCAAACCACCATGGCATGTATCTACCTATATAACAAATCTGCATGTTCTGCACATGTATGCCATAAAATATAATTAAAATAAATTTAAAAACTGTATTAAAATATACCATAACATAAAAAGTGCTATTTTAACCATAATTTCTTATAAAAATATAAATACATATAACATAAAATTTCCCATCTTAGCTATTTTTAAGTGCATAGTTCACTAGTGTAAAGTGTATTCATTTTGTTGTATAATCAATCTGCAGGGCTCTTTTTGTCTGGCAAAACTGAAGGTCTACACCTACTTATAACTCCTCATTTCCTCCTCCCTTTGGCCCCTGGCAACCACTCCTCTACTTTCTGTCTCTAAGAATTTGACTATATTAGGTAACTCATGTAAGTGGAATCATATAGTATTTATCTTTTGGAGAAGTCAAGATATTTTAAAGG